TAAACAAGCATCGGATTATGGAATTGAACATGCACAGCTCCCTCTTGGAAATTTTGTGAAGATGAATAGTCGAAAAGTTTTGGCAGTTAATCATGGTAAGCTATAAAGGTAAATGGAAAATAGACCTGAGTAAACATCGCGAGAAAGAACATTACGTTTGAGAATTGGACAAGTAGAAAATATTACACCATGCTGGAGACAAAATTGTAAAAAGTAATCATTAAAAATTTTTTTAAATAGGAGAAATGCATATTGTAGAAATTTTGAAAATGTACAGAAGTATAAAAAATTAACTGTAATCTCAAAGGTACTTGATGTTAATTTTTTTGTGTTTCCTTCCAGTTCTTTCCTATGCATATGTATTATTACACACTGCGTGATTGAGTTCTTACTTTGTTACATACAGTGTTATAAATCTGGGATATTTTTTTCCCACTTACCATTTTGTTTTTCCAGGTCATTGAGTGATTATTAATGGCTCTGTAATATTCCATCATCTGAATGTATAATAATTTAACCATTCTCCTATTGTTGAATTAGTTTTTTCTTTTTGCAGTCATAAATAATATTGGAATAGACATTCTTAGACCTAAGTGGTTTCCTGGACTTTGCTTTTTAAAATTTTTTAAGGAGAGATTTTAATCAGTATACAACTACTTATTGAACTCTTTTTATATGCTAAATACCTTCCGTATAGAAGGCTCTAGGGAATTATGGAAATGCAGTTACTGATTCAAGGAAAGGACTTCTTCAAAAACCTTTCATGTATAGTGAAAATTACTTCTCCAGAAAGTAATCCAAATTAGCCCTCCAGCAAGTGTGTTGAGTGAGACTACGTTGAAAACGGTATTGATATTCTTTACTCCTAACGTAAAAATAAAGCAGGCAAGCAGCTCCTCAGAGTGAGTGGCTTTTTATAAGAAAGTTAGAAGAAATTTAGATGAATGTTAACCATTTTTTCTAGTTGTATCTTAGCAGATAAAGGATAAAGAAGTGAAAGGGCTAAAAAAGAATAGGAAGGAAACTACAAAGATCCTCTTTCTATTATTTATAACCGACAAGGGATACTGGCAAATTTCTGAGTACTTAAGACCTGAACTGAGGAAAAGCTAGAGAGGAGCTAGCAGGCTTGAGATCCTTGGGCCAGATTGGCCCTGACAGCCAACAGGAGAAGGAAAGAGAAGAACAAAGTAGTTGCAGGACAAAGTAGCACTCTTGACAAAAAGGCAGTGTGTTTTAAAAGACAGTATGCAGCGCTGTGATGCACTTGGCTAAGAAATGTGTGGACTTTATTGCAGTGTTTGAGATTATTCTGGAATACTTGGAGACAAGAGACTGGCAAGAAGCATTTTTTACTATCTTGCCCCAGCGGAAAGGAGCCATTCCCACAGACAAAGCCCGTGTAAGTTCTTCCCAGGACAAGCAAGCTGTCAGGGTTGAAGATGGATCAGACAGTGATTCCAGCGAGGAGGAGCATGGCAGAAATGAACTAGATTCACCACGTAAGGAAGCAAAGCAGGATAAGGAACGTAGCACTGCATCTCCCGTGAGCTCTCCACCACACTAACGGTACCTGGTTTTCTTTTAGTTCAAGGGAAAATGAGGTGCTTCGTAGAATATTGGAATTGGAAGATTTTATTTTCTCTCATTTCTGTTATGAATTTTTAAAATTTTTTTTTTAGAGCTAAATGATAACAAAAAGCCCCATAAACTTTGTGAGGAAGTACTTTTTGTTTTTGCATAAGATTTAAATGTACACGTGAGTTTTTAAAAAAATTTTTTTAGGCCTTAACTGATAGTTTCTAGAGAATTGTACTTTATTAGTGTAGCTTCATTCTCTTTCATTTACTGGATTATATTCTTCAGAATGTGCCTTCTGACCTTCCAGTTTTATTATTTTATGTTCACATCTGTGTCTTTCTGATTTGTTGCTTACGTATTTGTGGGGGCAGATATTTATAAATACCTGTGAGTCTACCAGAATGTTGTATATGGCAAGTTACCCTCCATCTGTACCTTTTTTTAATTTTCAATTTAGTTATTTCAGTGCAATATAGTAATTTTAGGAAGAAGTATGCGTTTGATAGACTAAACAATTCATTTCTTCTGAACTGTGGAGCTCATGTATGTTTCTTCTCTGTGATGCCTTTTCATAGTTCTGAAGTAATAATACATTTTCTTAATTCTTATAATAGTGATCAATTATTTCAGTTGTAAAATTGAAGTTTTGCAGGCCAAATTATTTTATAAGACTGCTTTGAAAGATGAATTTTGTCTTTACCTAAATTTAAAATGAAATAACTCTTAGCAGCTGTCTTTTCCGTCCATATATTTTTTTAAATAAAACATATGTTGGCTTTTAAAATGAATAAAGATTATATAATGCATTTGTCTCCTATAATAATATTCAAACTAATGTAAATGTGCTTTCTATAAATATCATACACATGTATGAAAATATGCAAATAACTGTATTTATATCTGTTTTTCTACATCATGTATGGTTCTT